CCGTTCCCCGTACAGATGGGATGCTTTGTGTCAAGAAGCGTGCTCCTTGAATGGGATTTGCCCTTTTACCTAAACTGCATCTCGAATTTGATTAAAAACGTTGTGGCTTCATTACCTATGACCTTGACTCATCTCTAGGCTACATCTATCCATCCTTTATAAACGCAAATCCGTCCCTGCACGATTTTCGAATAAGACATGGCGATAATGATATACTGTGTTACAAGGCATTTTGGCTCTCTCAGAGCTTCAACCGAGAAGCTGCTAAAACTAAAAACTATGTTGCCTCGGACAACTCGCGGGTTACAATGTTAACATAGGCTGTACGCGACTCCAGCATTCATGGATACATCAGCTACGCGCGTTGAGAATGTTTAGTAGCCTAATAATTCCTTGTTTTCAATTATCAAAAACAACACATTTCTTGAATAGATAGCTAACTACGTCTCCCATTTGCTGTATCAAACGGTCCATACGATTTGTATCTGGTAAACATGTCGTTCGGTAGTCAGTAATTAACAATTTAACAGCGTATCTTCATATACCCTAAATGGGGTTAGCCATCGACACACGTGAGCCCTTATCAATGAGCTTCAATCGGCAATATAGCGACCTTTTAGATGATAATGTCGTTTTTGGACTAATGTCTTCTACTTTGTGTATTCGACAAGTGTAGTTATCGCTGTTCCATGATAATACTTATCTGGCACTTGTATCACCTTGTATCAAATATAAAACTGCCACGTTTACAGCTTTGCTTGTCCCCCGACTCAAACACAAGAAAGCCATGACGATAAACAATTATTCTTTACAAACTGAATTCACCGCGCCACAAATGGACCAAATAGGCTACCGAGAGCAATTGTCGAGTTTCTCTCTTTTGCTCGACAACATAGGCTATGAGCCACTTCAACACAACGGGACATACATGTCTGGCCAGGCCACCACCTAGTCCTAAACTACAGGCAACTGAGGCCATTTTCGTGTAAGTTACTTTTTATTCTCGCTCCCCCTCTCGCCTGACCATACGCTTAACAATAAACATTCCTGACAGCTCGCATACCCCTGACCTGCGCCATCTTTGAAAACACTATTCCTGAAAACAAAAAACAAGTGTGAAAATGTAACTTGAGAATCACAATTCTGTCTAAAGCCATATACGGCAGTGACCGGATCACTTACCGATGGATATCTGAATTCCCGCTCCAAGAAACAGGACCCAACATATTAAATAAGAGCGCATTGTATCCATTGTCGCACGGAATTACTCTTGACTTGCTGTTGGTCAGTCGGCAATTTCTCGTACTCAACTTCTGTAGTCTTTGCTTGGAGGAAAAAAATTGTCTGATTGGCCAACAACGCGAAAATACCCCGCCCACATGGAACACCCCTAAACCCTCTCTTATTACCCACCCCCTTCTAACTTGCACTGATTTCATCCCATTTTGTAGCCACGTACAATGCATGCCTATCCATCCACTGCTATTTACATGTCAGGCACAGCTGTCCAACCTCACCATATCCATTAGTCTAAATAATTTAATAATGAGTAGCCTATTCCTATAGAAACATTATGTATAATTATCCAGTCACATTGAGGACACTAAAACCCATTGGTAGCCTATTGATCAGATCAGCTTGAAAATGTATTATATTACGCAGCAGACATATAATGAATGTCAATAACTTCAAGACTTCAAAATTGTATTGTGATTTCTCCCATCTGCTCCTACCACTGGTTGTATGGCTCCACATACACAGTCCTAGCTAGTATCTGACCCAGTCCCCTTCTGCCCCCTCTACACCCTTCCCTGGGCCAGTGGCAGAAGAGATTGATGACAGGACATTCTCTCTAGTCTCTGGTCTACTTGCCAACAGGCCTTGTCCTGGCTGTCCAGTATACAGCCTGTGTGTTGTAGTGGACTGAACGCAATGCACCAAATTCCCCCCAGGCCCTTCCGCCCCAAAAACAGGGGGATCAATGTGGAATGCTGCCCTTTTTAGTTGACCAACACAGTTTTCTGTTTGTTTGACTGCTGAGTAAACATAGCCTTTAGAGTGACAGAAAAACAGACCTTGCTGGGGAGGTGCAAACAAACACAACACAATACTATTTGGAGTCACTTGACTTTCTAAGATTAAATCCATTCACAGTCATCCATTCATTCATGATTTAAATTGGCACCACTTCATCAATAACACTCAACTTGAAAAACTATTCCATGGCTAACGTTCATCCGACCAACAGAGTTACAGGATAGAAAGGTGAATGTTATGGTTAGGGGAGTGATAGAATAACTGGAGAGTTTCTCCATTATGCATTTATGTAGGAGACTGAGCTGGGTTGTGCTCTGCTTTGATAATGAGAAGACTGTTGTCATTGTTGAATTGACAGTGATGTAATGACAGTGGACCATGCAGGATATCAGGTGGCATGGTAGATAGTGTACAGGGAGAGCACATTATCCCCTGTTGTTTGTTGTAGTTTGTCAGTGCCTTGGACAGGTGTCTGGGGTGGCGGGGTGCAGAGTAACACAAGGGCAGGTGACAGGTGGGAGTATAAATTATCTCCACACACACACAGGTTCTGTAATGACACAGAGCACAGTAAGGGCAGATGGTCATGAACACAGGACTCTGGATCTACCTGTAGGGACAGGAGGTGAACATCCCATTAACACCCTGAGAGAGGCCTGTAATGATGCAGAAAACAACAAACACACACACTGCCATGCCGCATGAGAAACTGGCCTCCTCTGTCACATGTGAAATAACGTATGACTACAAGCCAATGCACTTCTTGAACCTGACATGATTACTATGGATACAATAGATTTTATGAGGGATGAAAGATCCAACTTGAGGGAGATGTTACTGTAAGTTTTATATTCCCCTTCCCTCTTTCTGTATTGAAAAAAAGAGAATGCCAAGAGTGTGCAAAGCTGTCATCAAGGCCAAGGGTGGCTATTTGAAGATTCTCAAATATAAAATATATATTGATTTGTTTAACACTTATTTGGTTACTATATGATTCCATATGTGTTATTTCATAGTTTTGATGTCTTCACTATTATTCTACAAAGTAAAAAATAGTACAAATAAAGAAAAACCCTTGAATGAGTAGGTTTGTCCAAACTTTTGACTGGTAGTGTATGCACAAAGCAGCGCTGTGTACTGCAACAATTAAGGTTTTAGATTCAGGGAAACAATGAAACATTCAGAGAAAACATTGTTTACAAAAGAGAAGAAAAATCAATATGATTAAAATGACTGGTTGATTAATAATTTAAAGGAGAAACACGGAAGAGTCATGTCATTGCACAGATACTGTCACAAACAGCTAGTCAGAGTCATCCAGTGAGACAGATTTGATAACCCTTTGAGCAACAAACCAGAAATATTTCTCAAATGTCGCCACCCAGAACCAGGAAGCTGTATGAACGCTCATATCAAATTATGCTGATGTTTTTTATTCTTTATGATGTTCACGTCCTCGCCACACTTTCAACAGAACAATCGGTAAAGTGAGATGGTTTGCTACCACCTAGTGCCCATTTGGTGCAATTGCGTTTATTTACCTACAGGATCAAATGTAATCGATTGTGTGTGTTGCAGAACTCCACATGAAATTAATAGCAGTCTTAAAAAACAAACAAAACATTTATTCACTGAGCACCAGTCAATGAGTACAAACATTGTATTTCTCTGCATGACAGTCAAACTTTTTCTTTCCAATTTAAAAAATAATCTTCCTAACTGTAAAAAAAGAATCTATCAAGTCTGTGAAATTAATCAACATATAAAAATACTTAGAGCTCTAGAGTTGTTACCATTACTATCATTTCCCCAGCCATTAAAATATGTAGTTCTCGATCATAGATTTGTTGAAAGTACATATACAGTAAGTCAATTAGTAGAATACCGTACAAAAATAACTATTTCAGGTTAGATAGCACAGGCATTTTTGCACAACAGCATCTATATGCATGTGTTTCAATTTAATTTTATTTCAAAGTGAACTTGTGTTTTGCTAGATTTAAGATGATGTGCTGTTACAGTATAAATAAAAAATGTAAAACATAGAATTAAACTTAAATACTAAGAAAAAGTTATCGTTCACAACAGAAAAACCCTTAACAATTTTCACAGACAAAAAGCCTTCATGGATATGGAAACACCCCAAACTATTCAAATCAACTCACAGTGCATCTAAACGACTTAAAGGCCTAAAGAGGAAAAAAGGTTCCCTTGTCTGAATACATCCTAGTATTTTATTATACATTTTTATCACGGAAAAACAGAAAAGACCAGTCGTCCTAATTTCATCATATCATCATGTTGTTTTGGGGTCTCTATGCAAACTACTCTACTAGGCACTTAAGAATAAGACTCAATTGAGTAAACCAACAAAAAAAGGCTACTTCAGCAGAAACAGTGTGTTAGTCGGTTGGTTGCTGATCACAAGTTCTTTGGCATTCCTTCTTCAGTCAATTAAAACACAGAGTGAATTGGAGTTATACGGTGCTTTTGCCGGAGGAATTGACATTATATTTACACCTTTCTTAAAACGGACAGTAATCATACATTAGGGACAAGTGCAATGCAGTGATGCTGTGTTGATGGAAGGTTAATAATGAGAGGTGAATGAAGTGGGGGGAGTTTCATCTGTGGTCAGTATGAAGATGCTCTATCTGTTTGTGGTAGATAGGTGAGTGCTGTGGTCAGTATGTGATAGTGTTAAAGTGTCTCTTCTGGTCCAGCATATAGCTGCTCTTTGTTAATAGGAGACTCTTGTGTTTGTGGAGGGAGTTCATTTATTGTGTGGTCCACATGGCTGTTTGCTGTCAATGAGAGGTGTGTGTGTGTGTTTGTGTGTGTGTGTGTACTGTATTTGCTTGTACATGCGTCAATAGCTTAGTTTTACATGTTCTTCATGAAAACATTAATGGGATATAGTTGTGTGTGTGAGAGAGAGTGTATACTAGATGTGTGTGTTGAGGTTAATTAGACCTTCTGTGGTCAATGTAGCTATTCTCGATACATAGCACTACGAAGTGGTTGGAGCAGCTGCGGGTGTGTTGGCCCAGCAGTCTGCCCGTCTGAAGGAGCGAGGCCTGGCCCGTCACTGCCATGTCACCCGCCCGCCACGCCTCGCAGTAGTTAGTGGTCATACGGATGCCGACCGTGCTGGAGCCATGCCACACCAGCTTCTGAGGCCTGCGTTCACAGACAACACACACAGAGAGTTAAACACAGACCTATGACATTTTACATTTAGAGATACTCATTTCCAGAGTGACTTAAATCAGTGTTCAACTAAATATCACAATCTGTGATTGTTCTCTGTATGTCTTTTAAGGGGTCAGTCAAAGTTGGTCACTAACCAAGTGGGGTCCATCATGACATTCCGTCCGTCAAAGGAGTAGATAGGGATTGATGGGTCCAACACGCCTCCATTCCCAGAGAAGATGTTCATCCAGCTGCCATAGAGCACCTCTCCCTGTGGAAAAGATACGATTGAAGTCACATTTACAGTCACAGACTTCCTGTAGTTTCAATGAAGGAAATATACCTTTTCATTTAGAAAAATATGACTATACCTTAATGAGATTAGTACAACTGTCTTACCGCATCATAACCAAAAAACGAAGGACCTATCAGTCCATTGTTTATGTTTTAGTTGTCATAAGAGACAACAACTGTACCTTGAGGTTGATGATGGGCATGCTGTAGCGGTCTCCCTTCTTGACGATGGTGGCCAGGTCCTGGAGGTGTGAGGACATGAAGGCTCTGTAGGTAGCGGTGAGGCCCATGGCGCGGGCCTGCTGGTAGCACTGGAAGTCTGCCCCCCGGATGCCACGCATGTCCCCAGAGAACGGAGTGTTTAGGGCCACCAGGTGCAGCTGGGGAGGGAAACAGTCAATGGACTTAAACATAGACAACACAGCTCAAGCAAGTCCATTGTGACAATGTGCAACAGAGGTATAAACCTATAGCATATTGATTATGAAAATGAAGTCTTACCCCAGGTACTGAAGGTACTGTATGAGGTAGGACATTATAGTTGGGCATGTAGCTAGTTCCAACTAGTTCCTAAAAAAACAGAGACACAAGCAGAGATTGACATGCCGTGAGTAAAGAAATCAGAAATAAAACATTGAAAAAAAGAGCGGCAGGTAGCCCCTAGATTAAAGTGTTGGGCCAGTAACCGAAAGGTCATTGGTTCGAATACCGGAGCCGACAAGGTGACAAATCTGTTGATGAGCCCTTGAGCAAGGCACTTAACCCTAATTGCTCCAGGGACGCTGTACAATGGTGACCCTGGCCGTGACCCCACTCCCTACATTTACTGCCTCCCGAGTGGCGCAGCGGTCTAAGGCAGTGCTAGAGGTGTCACTACAGACCCGGGATGTCCTTGTCCCATCGCGCTTTAGCGACTCCTTGTGGCGTGCCGGGCGCGCTGACTTCGGTTACCAGTTGCACAGTGTTTCCTCCAACACATTGGTGCGGCTGGCTTCCGGGGGGTTAAGCAGGCAGTGTGTCAAGAAGCAATGCGGCTTGGCAGGGTCGTGTTTCGGAGGACGCATGGCTCTCGACCTTCACCTCTCCCGAGTCCGTACGGGAGTTGCAGTGATGGGACAAGACTGTAACTACCAATTGGATATCACAAAATTGGGGAGAAAAAAGTATTACAAAACAAATAGAAAAAAAATAGAAAACGACATTTCCATTACACACTTGTGTGTAACAGGACAAATATAAGCACCCCCCCAGATGTAGTGTGCAGTGTAACCACAGTGGGTGGTGTGTTACTGTAGCCACAGTACCTGGCTGTGTGGCCTGTGGGGTCTGCTGCGATCTCCTGGTCTGCTCAGGGCCTGGGACAATGTAGAGGATGGGGTCTCTGCTGGGACAGGGATCAGCTCACCAAGCTGGAGAGACAGGACACACATCACTGAATAAGCACAGGCAACATCTCATTTTCTATGCCAATTTAGCAATATCAAAGGCTTTTAATTAACTGAAGACATAACTGTGGGATTGTGGGACTGTAAAGTACCTGAACCTTGCGCCAGCCATCTCTGGCTCTAAGGTAGAGTTCTTCCTTGTCTGAGACGTAGGCCATGGAGCCCTCTGCAGCACGGTGGCTCTCCCTCATCAGAGTGATGGTGTTCCTGTATGTGGTCACCTGGGGTGAGAAGAGAGGAAGTTCACACTGAATCATCTGGACATAGACAATGCTGCTCAAGCAAATCCATGCTGACAATGAGAGAACTCTATAGTGCACACGCAAACACACACAAGTGTGTACAAACACATACACACATTTCCCTGTGTGTTTACCTATGTTGATTTGGTGAGTATACAAGGAAGTACCCTACTGGTTGTCTTACCGGGTTTTCATAGCCAGTAATCCCAGGAGGACCAGGAGGCCCAGGTGGGCCAGGAATACTCACAGCTGAAAAATAGAACAGTCATACAAAGGTATAAAGGGGAATGTAGGTTTACTAAACATACATTTGTGTATTTTATTAAATACATAAACATGGAACTCACCCTAAACTAAAGCATGACAGTAAGGCTTAGTTTAAGATGTTGTATTTTAGCGAGCACACAGTGCACAGTTACCTGAGGCATAGACAGGGGGTGGTCCAGGGGGTCCGGCAGGGCCAGGGGGCCCCCGAGTGCCTGGTCGTCCAATGCCAGGAACCCCTGGTTCACCAGGAGCTCCAGGATGACCAGGGGCGCCAACGATGGACTCACCTTTTGGCCCCTACATATACAGCATATGCAAATGTAACATACAAAAGTAAAAGCTTTATCATGTATGGAAATGAGAGTGTCTTTACTATTTACCTTGACTACAGTTTGTAAAATGTACACTGTACTTTTTTGAGTACTTGGAGCCTGGAATTACTCACCACAAGGCCTGATCTCCCAGGAAGACCTGGAGGGCCAGGCAACCCAGCATCACCCTTCTCTCCTTCATAGCCCACGTCCCCTTTTTCTCCCTGAGAAACACACAGTTTGGTTGAATCAGACTATTACATTTATATTTTAGTCATTATCCAGAGCGACATACAGGAGCAATTAGGTTTAAGTACCTTGCTCAAGGGCACATCGACAGATTTCTTTACCTAGTCAGCTCAGGGATTTGAACCAGCGACCTTTCGGTTACTGCCCAACATTCTTAACCATTAGGCCACATTCCGCCCTATGACATGCATAAGAGTTTTACGTAACATACATTTCCACTACTTGTAAATGTTCCTTAAAGAACTTAAGGGGAAAGACTCACCACAAAACCTTCTGGAAGAACATCATCTGAGGAGGGAGAAGACATCTTAGTTAACTGTCGTCTGTTGCAAACATATGTCTGAATACGCTCATGCATAAAGTTTCTGTTATAATTAAGTGCGCTAATTGCCAATAAACAAGTTAAATGGAGAAGGAACTGCACCCTTGGCTGCACATACATACCTTGTTCTCCAGGTGTTCCAGGCAGTCCAACCTCTCCCTTTTCCCCTTTAGCACCTCTGTTTCCTCTCCTACCACCTTTACAGAAATACAGTACAGGTGTATGAGACAACTGAGATCATCTATAAAAATGTAAAGCCTGCTCCATAGGCTGGATAGGTGATCCGATATTGTCAGTGTGATTCATTGATTACTTACCTTGTGATGATCCCCTGCTGCCATTCACCTAAAACACAAGATTGTATGGTTATTGTACTGTTATTGTGGATCAAACTTGTTGTGGAAGGATGTCACAAATAATACGGTTAATATAAAATTACACCCAAAACCAGATCCACATAATTCCCCCAAAATAATCACCAACAAAACAGCTTTACATCCTATACAGGCAACAAGTAAAGTTGTTTCTGTTCAGTCCAAAATGTCTGGAAATTAAAATGGAGACATGGAGAGAGATGTGTAATTCATTTAGGTGTTAAAACGTCCCTGCCAGCCTTGCACACACCGGTTAAACATAGAATGAGGACAAGGAGGGCGAGAGGTAGTAAGGAACTCAGGTTGAATGTTCTTATTTAGGTTGGCCACCTTGAACCGCAGAGAAGTTCGAAGACGGAGAGCACACATTACACTGGTTTTAAGGTCTCTGCACTGGCTGCCTGTGAGTTTTAGAATTAATTTTAAGATTCTTCTATTGTTTTTTAAATCAATCCACGATAGTGCACCCCAATACATGTCAGGCATGCGTTTAAAGTATGTACCCAGTAGGTCCCTCAGGTCCTCTGGCACTGGCCTTTTAACTATCCCAAAGCCTAGAACCAAGAGGCATGGAGGCAGCCTTTAGTTATTATGCCCCCAGCCTGGAATAGCCTGCCAGAGAACCTGAGGGGGGCCGAAACTGTGGACATATTTAAAAGAGATCTTAAAACATATTTTTAGCATTGCTTTTCCTTAGGGTGCTTTTTAGTTGTTCAGTTTGTGTCATTTTTTCCTGTAAAGCACGTTGCATGAAATGTGCTGTATAAATAAAGCTTGATTTGATTTGATTAATAACCTCTTAGTGCTCTAAAGCTGAAACCCAACAGATAAAACCACATGCAATATCAACACAGCAACAGACCTTCCAAAATGCCCAGGGTTAAAGGAACAGGATCACTCAATGGGAAAAAAGCTCTTTAGATTTCTACTAGACTTCTATACTGTCAGCATAAAGCAGGCTGAACATTCAAAAGAGTTTGAATTCATCAATTCAGAACTTGATGTATTGAAGACAATTTGACTATTCAGTATGGTTGAGATGTGACTGTATGATGTCACATATGACCTTATGACCTGCGGAAGAGCAGGAGCCAGCTTTATGCTGTTGTGAGGACCACCACAAACCCAGGAAACACGGAGGGAGACACAGCACGGCTGCAGACAGGAGGAGAGGACAGGGAGGGACTGCCTGTTAGCGGTAAGAGCCCACGAACTTACATGCACCGCCACACCCAAAGGGCCTTAGAGGGGCTCAAACACAAACTTACTGGTGTTTTGCAGAACGGTCTGGCATGGACCGGAAAAACTGTCTTTAAGATTCAGAGGGAAATTATGACATCAGACTAGTATTGATGACGACATAATTGACAGCATCTGGATATCCAATGAAAGCGAATACTTAATGTGTTGACATTACACCATCACTGGAGACAATCTATCGCTCATTTGTTGTTCTATTTTGCTTGTCTCCAGTAGGTCTCATTGCTACTGTATGAACATTGCTACTAAAACCAAATGTCCATTCCGTTCCACAGTGCATACTAATAATAGTAGAGAAACAGCAATGACATCAGCACATCAATTCTTAGTTATACAGGCATACTGTACTTACTCCATTGAGTCCTATTACTGGTCCTGGGGGACCGGGAGGGCCAGGAGGACCAGGAAGTCCCTAAAACACAATCACACCGATCAATCAATCGCTGTCAATGACACCTCACTTTTCTATTAGTTAGTTAGTTGATTGTACTGTAATCCCATAAAATCACGTTTCAAGATGGCGATTCTTACTGGTTGACCAATGGCATCTCCCTTGTCTCCCTTCTTCCCTGCCATTCCAGGTCGTCCCTACAGAAGAAAAAGGTCAACACTTACACAGGGCAGATTAAAGTGACAGCTCAAACTCTCATATAATAACCAAACAAATGAAAACAGTAGAGGGTTGACTAAAAACACTAACCGGTCGACCAGGGAATCCGTATTCTCCTTTTTGTCCAGTTGGTCCAATTGGTCCCTTAAAAATAAAACATTATATTTTTTCATAACATTTTCACTCAGTAGACAGTAGGGACCAGTTTCCCAGACACAGATTAAGCCTATTCCTGGACAAAAAAGCATGTTCAATGGAAATTCTACATTGAAAGTACTTTTTAGTCCAGGACTAGGCTTAGTCTCTGTCCGGGAAACCAGCCTTATATGTTTACAGTTGTTTCAGATGTCTATAGCTAAGACCAATGTAACAGAGCATTGATTTAACAAGTATTCATTCACTCACCATGATACCAGCAGCTCCAGGGAACCCACGCTCACCCTGTAAACAGCACCCATACAAGGTCAGAACGCTTATCATCAGACAACCACTACCATACAATGACCTTTGACCCTAGAGGTAGAAAGAAACGTCACCTTGACTCCTTTTGGTCCCTGAGGGCCCCTGACACCTGTCAACACAGTGCCGTCGGCAGCTATCGTGACACCAGATTCCCCCTTCACACCCTATGATGAGGAAAGACATAGTAGATACAAAGACATGATCATCAGGTCTTGGTTAGGTTAAAGAAATCCTACCTATCTGATGTAAGGTCCAGAGAATATAAATGCCCTAGCATGCAAGGGCAGTTAACACTAAAGATGAGAGTTTCCTCTCAGCTTACCTTCATTCCTGGTGGACCGTGAAGACCAGGAAGCCCAATGTCACCCTTTGGTCCTCTTGGGCCCTGGGCAAAGATCACAAGAATAATTATGAACAGAAAAGATAAGCGTATTAGAACATAATGTACTTATAGTAGGTGAGTCAAAATATATGTTTTATTCAGAACGACAGACTCTTCTCATTATGATAAGGAACCTACAAGTTTTGTAGTGATTCCTAGGTTGTTGATGTAAATAATATTTGTTGGTCCATGGTGTGTAATGACAAGCAACCAGACACTAAACTTGACACATTTATGAAATTGCTTATCCCAGTTACTAATAAGAATGCACCCATTAAGAAAATGACTGTAAAAACTATTAAATACCTGTGGATTGATGAGGAATTGAACAATTTTATGGTTGAGAGGGATGAGGCAAAATAAATTGAAAATAAGATTGGCAAACGTACTGCAGATTGAGAAATCATGTGACGAAACTACATTATGAAACAAAGATAAATGACATAAAGAATGATAGTAAAAAGCTTTGGAGCACCTTAAATGAAATTTTGGCCAAAAACTCAGCTCCATCATTCATTGAATCAGATGGCTCATTCATCACAAAACCCACTGATATTGCCAACTACTTTAATGACTTTTTTATTGGAAGATTAGCAAGCTTAGGCATGACATGCCAGCAACAAACGCTAACACTACACATCCAAGTATATCTGACCAAATTATGAAAGACAAGCATCGTAATTTTGAATTCTGTAAAGTGAGTGTGGAAGAGGTGAAAAAATTATTGTTGTTTATCAACAATGACAAGCCACCGAGGTCTGACAACTTGGATGGAAAATTACTGAGGATAATAGCGGACAATATTGCCACTCCTATTTGCCATATCTTCAATTTAAGCCTACTAGAAAGTGTGTGCCCTGAGGCTGTTTTGTTAGACTTCAGTGCGGCTTTTGACATTATCGATAATAGTCTGCTGCTGGAAAAATTTATGTGTTATGGCTTTACACCCCCTGCTATATTGTGGATAAAGAGTTACCTGTCTAACAGAACACAAAGGGTGTTCTTTAATGGAAGCCTATCAGACATAATCTAGGTAGAATCAGGAATTGCCCAGGGCAGCTGTCTAGGACCCTTACTTTTTTCAATTTTTACTAACAACATGCCACTGGTTTTGAGTAAAGCCAGTGTGTCTATGTATGCGGATGACTCAACACTATACAGGTCAGCTACTATAGTGACTGAAATGACTGCAACACTTAACAAAGAGCTGCAGTTAGTTTCAGAATGGGTGGCAAGGAATAAGATAGTTATAAATATTTCAAAAACTAAAATAATTGTATTTGGGACAAATCATTCACTAAACCTCAACTAAATCTTGTAATGAATAATGTGGAAATTAAGCAAGTTGAGGTGACTAAACTGCTTGGTTCCTTGTCATGGTCAAAACATATTGATACAACAGTAGCTAATAATAATAATAATAATAATAATAATAATATAATATGCCATTTAGCAGACACTTTTATCCAAAGCGACTTACAGTCATGCGTGCATACATTATTTTTTTTTGTGTATGGGTGGTCCCGGGGATCGAACCCACTACCTTGGCGTTACAAGCGCCGTGCTCTACCAGCTGAGCTACAGAGGATGGGGAGAAGTCTGTCCATAATAAAGCGCTACTCTGCCTTCTTAACAGCACTATCAACAAGGCAGGTCCTTCAGGCCCTAGTTTTGTCGCATCTGGACTAATGTTCAGTCTCTGTTACATGTTCAGGCGGCAAAGACAAAATTAAATCTGTAATACAGTAATACATAAATATACAATGGATCCTGCATGCCATATATGGGGTTATCACATATTAAGTATGGAGTTTATCTTACAGGGAATCCTGCTCTGCCAGGCTCTCCTTCAGGGCCCTGTGACATGCAACAAAACACACATAGGCAGGTAGCAGGACTACGTTAGCATAGCTGTCAATCGCATGGAATAATACAGTAACATGCAGTTTCTATGCAGCATGTATTAGCAAGCATCTCACAAAATACACACATTTCAAGGCTGTAATGTATCAATAAGCTTTAGACCTGATATAATCATGGTTGAGTGTGACCGTATACATACATTATGTAAGTAGGCTAAGTATATGCATTATATAACCTAACTATATGTATTCTGGATCAAGTATGTATTATGGTTGCATTAATGGTTGATTAGATGGTTAGGCTGACCCTTAGCTGAACCTACTTCTAATAAATAGGCATTGAGGAATTGAAAACAGGCCATTCTGGCTTCACACATGACAGATGTGACCAGAATGAATTAATCATTAATGTCATTGCTCATGCATGACATAGCAATAAATGCAAACTGCCCTGAGGCATATTGATATGTCCCATGCTTCAGCGTCCAGCCCATTTAATGTAGGGCAGAATGGACATTTCCATTCAAATATAACCGACTAGTTTCAGAAATACATATAAACTGAACATTGTGCTTCTCACCATTGGGCCAGGGGACCCACGGATCTCAGTGATGTTAAACATGCCCTCTGTGTTGTTCAGGAGGAGCTGAGGATAAATATATGACACACCTGATTACAATAGTAAATCTACTGTATCTATACAAGCTATACACTTTACATACTGTATAAACTATGAATATTTGAAAACCAAGTGGATGGCGATGAATTCAATTGCAACAGACATCTCAAGATACTTCATGTAATATATGTGTGCACTCCCATTTGGTTATGAATACTCATGAAGGTAATAACCCCTTAATAAAACACAACAGTTATATTCCTGGTCAATATGTGTGTGTTATTTGTGAAACAGCACTCAGACAGAGGATGGGAGTTGTGAGGGGTGGACCTACATCCTGCAGATTGATGATGGGTCCTGGAGGGCCAGGAGGACCAGGAGGACCAGGTACATTGTGTCCATCAGGACCACACTCTCCCTGGAAGACACAGCACACAGGACAGTTAGGACACATTTCCCCCATGAACTTAACATGACATGAATACAAGCCATTTTGAATAATACAACCAATGGTCTATAATGTTGTAACAGGCTTTGATACAACCACACATACTATATGATGAACAGTAGACGAGGGTAGAAGAACATCTCACATCAGGGTTAGTTTGGAATCGTTCTGTTGTCTAACACTAACATACCTTTGGTCCTGGATCGCCTTTGTCTCCTTTCAATCCCTGGGGAGAGACAAGCACAAAAACCATAGTGAAACACCTTTATAGTAGACAGTTAGTAGGTGAAAGTATGCCTGTACGGAAATAGTGGGGGTACATTGTACTGTTAAAACATGAGCCTTTCACAATTATAAAAACAAAGATGGCAAAAAAACTGTAGGCTATTAAACCAAGATGTATCATAACTGCCTGTCAGCCGCATGACAAATTTGCAGTGTGGTTCAACGTGAACATTACAATTTTGGCTAGGCAGAAATGACTGGCCGGAAACAAGACACACTCGGACAGCAGTGGACACATCAATTAAATCTACTTTCACCCCTGGGTTTAGCTAAGACTTAAGTTAATGGTTACAGCACATGAGGCATGCTGTACTTTCTGGTTCAATACTGACCCTGGCGCCAGGAAGTCCAGCTAGTCCTTGGAGTCCCTCAGGGCCAGGAGCACCAGGCTCACCCTGAAAAGAGACAGAACAAAGGTGAAGACAGGATAAAATTACACAGTATAAGGAAGACACAACCATCAATGTCCACTAATGATATTATAGAAGGTAGTGTAAAAAAGATGCAACCAACCTTCACTGACAACCCAGGAGCCCCATCCTTCCCATCTTCACCCTGTAGAAAACAGAAAGGATATACAACTTATCAGATTTCCATGTGAACCTACATTGAACTAAAATATAAACGCAACATGTAAAGTGTTGATCCCATGTTTCATGAGCTGAAAGAAAATATTCCAGAAATGTTCCATATGCACAAAGAGCTTATTTCACTCAAATGTTGTGCACAAATTTGTTTACATCCCTGTTAGTGAACATTTCTCCTTTGTCAAGATAATCCATCCACCTGACAGGTGTGGCATATCAAGAAGTTGATTAAATGGCATAATCATTACACAGGTGCACCTTATAAAAGGCCACTCTAAAAGTGCTCGTCGTCCTCACCAGGGTCTTGACCTGACGGCAGTTCAGTATCGTAACCGACTTCAGTGGGCAAATGCTCACCTTCAATGGCCACTGGCACACTGGAGAAGTGTGCTCTTCACAGATGAATCCCAGTTTCAATTGTAACGGGCAGATGTCAGATGGTGTGTTTTGTGTCGTGTGGGCAAGCGGAGTGCCCCATGGTGGCGGTGGGGTTATGGTATGGGCAGAAATAAACTAAGGACAATGAACATAATTGCATTTTATTGATGGCAATTTGAATGCACAGAGATACCGTGACGAGATCCTGGTGGCCCATTGTCGTGCCATTCATCCGCCGTTATCACCTCATGATTCAGCATGATAATGCACAGCCCCATGTCGCAAGGATTTGTACACAATTCCTGGAAGCTGAAAATGTCCCAGTTCTTCCATGGCCTGCATACTCAGCAGACATGTCACCCATTGAGCATGTTTGGGATGCTCTGGATCGACGTGTATGATAGCGTGTTCCAGTTCCCGCCAAGATGGAGTAGCAGTGCGGTTGTGTATTCTGTTGTGTCCTCGTATAAATAAACTGTTTTTTTGTTTTTTGTATTTTTTTCGTATATATACAGTGGGGAGAACAAGTATTTGATACACTGCCGATTTTGCAGGTTTTCCTACTTACAAAGCATGTAGAGGTCTGTCATTTTTATCATAGGTACACTTCAACTGTGAGAGACGGAATCTAAAACAAAAATCCAGAAAATCACATTGTATGATTTTTTAATAATTAATTTGCATTTTATTGCATGACATAAGTATTTGATCACCTACCAACCAGTAAGAATTCCGGCTCTCACAGACCTGTTAGTTTTTCTTTAAGAAGCCCTCCTGTTCTCCACTCATTACCTGTATTAACTGCACCTGTTTGAACTCGTTACCTGTATAAAAGACACCTGTCCACACACTCAATCAAACAGACTCCAACCTCTCCACAATGGCCAAGACCAGAGAGCTGTGTAAGGACATCAGGGATAAAATTGTAGACCTGCACAAGGCTGGGATGGGCTACAGGACAATAGGCAAGCAGCTTGGTGAGAAGGCAACAACTGTTGGCGCAATTATTAGAAAATGGAAGAAGTTCAAGATGACGGTCAATCACCCTCGGTCTGGGGCTCCATGCAAGATCTCACCTCGTGGGGCATCAATGATCATGAGGAAGGTGAGGGATCAGCCCAGAACTACACGGCAGGACCTGGTCAATGACCTGAAGAGAGCTGGGACCACAGTCTCAAAGAAAACCATTAGTAACACACTACGCCGTCATGGATTAAAATCCTGCTGCGCACGCAAGGTCCCCCTGCTCAAGCCAGCGCATGTCCAGGCCCGTCTGAAGTTTGCCAATGACCATCTGGATGATCCAGAGGAGGAATGGGAGAAAGTAATGTGGTCTGATGAGACAACAATATAGCTTTTTGGTCTAAACTCCACTCGCCGTGTTTGGAGGAAGAAGAAGGATGAGTACAACCCCAAGAAATCCATCCCAACTGTGAAGCATGGAGGTGGAAACATCATTCTTTGGGGATGCTTTTCTGCAAAGGGGACAGGACGACTGCACCGTATTGAGGGAAGGATGGATGGGGCCATGTATCGCGAGATCTTGGCCAACAACCTCCTTCCCTCAGTAAGAGCATTGAAGATGGGTCGTGGCTGGGTCTTCCAGCATGACAACGACCCAAAACACACAGCCAGGGCAACTATGGAGTGGCTCCGTAAGAAGCATCTCAAGGTCCTGGAGTGGCCTAGCCAGTCTCCAGACCTGAACCCAATAGAAAATCTTTGGAGGGAGCTGAAAGTCCGTATTGCCCAGCGACAGCCCCGAAACCTGAAGGATCTGGAGAAGGTCTGTATGGAGGAGTGGGCCAAAATCCCTGCTGCAGTGTGTGCAAACCTGGTCAAGACCTACAGGAAACGTATGATCTCTGTAATTGCAAACAAAGGTTTCTGTACCAAATATGAAGTTCTGCTTTTCTGATGTATCAAATACTTATGTCATGCAATAAAATGCAAATTAATTACTTAAAAATCATACAATGTGATTTTCTGGATTTTTGTTTTAGATTCCGTCTCTCACAGTTGAAGTGTACCTATGATAAAAATGACAGACCTCTACATGCTTTGTAAGTAGGAAAACCTGCAAAATCGGCAGTGTATCAAATACTTGTTCTCCCCACTATATCTCTCTCTCACTTTCCACCCTTTAACTAAATATATGCAACCCACCTCACCCAATGTGGAACGGATTCTATTATTTCTTTATTTTTATCAAGAACCTACGGCTGAAACTAGCGAGCTAACTAGCTACTTGCTATTAGCCACCGTTATCGGTCTTCACCACTGTCCGTGGCCTGCACTACCTACCAGCCAGCTCTAGCCTGAACAATTATCGGCCACAGCATGCTATCGACCCAGAGCATATCGGATTTTCTGCCGGAATCACTGGACCTTAACACCGGACCATCGCAACTAGCTAGCTGCAACAGAATGGCTGTTGTTGGCTAATCACCACTGTCCCGACGTACCAGTTAGCCTTGAGATAGCCTCGAGCCAGGCCCATCTCCCGGCTATCTACCTCTCTGTCAGCAGGACGGGACCTCCTAGTGTCGACACGGAGCCCGCCGATCCATCACGACTGGTCTGCCGATGTAATCGTCTGATATGGTTTCAACAGGCTTCCCGTTGCGACAACTAAGAAGATCCATCCGCTAGCCCCGGCCCGCTAGCATGCGCAATCAACAGCCATGCCTCCTGCTTGCCTGTGCTGTAGCAGCCTATGAACTGCTCCCTATTGCTGTTCACTGGACCTTATGATCGCTCAGCTACACAGCTAATGCCTGCTGGACTGTTCCTTTACACGGTACCCCATCCTGTTTATCTGTTTAGCCTCAGCCCAAATTTTCGTCGCCATTACCAGTTGTTGTCTTAGCCCTCTCGAATAACACCTGTGATTGCGTTATGCCTCTCTCCCATGTCAATATGCCTAGCCTATTGCTGTTTGGGTTAGTTCTTATTATACAATTTCACTGTAGAGCCCCCAGTCCCGCTCAACCAGCCTCAGAGAGCTCCTTTGTCCCACCCCACATACACACGGAGACCGGCTCAATCGGTACCTCCAGTGATGCTCTCTCTTTCATAGTTACCCAATGCTTAGGTGAACCTCCACTGTACTCATATCCTTCCATATCCTTGTCTGTACATAATGCCCTGAATCTATTCTACAACGCCCGTAAATCGGCCCCTTTTATTCTCTGTACCCAACGCACTAGAAGACCAGCTCTTAAAGCCTTTAGCCGTATCCTTATTCTATTCCTCCTCTGTTCCTCCGGGGATGTAGAGGTTAACCCAGGCCCTGTAGCCCCCAGTATCACTCCTACCCCCCAGGCGCTATCATTTGTTGACTTCTGCAACCGTAAAAGCCTTGGTTTCTTCTTCTTATTATTTTTTTTTGGGGGGGGGGGGGGGGGGGTAGATCAACTTAATATTGCAGATAGATTGTAACTTCCATCAATGTAATTGTCTGCATCACTTCCAATCCCTGTCACGCTCGTCTACGAGAGAGGACCAATGCGCAGCGTTGAAGGTGAACATAATATATATTTATTAACTGATCACACGATCAAAACAATAACCAACGATGCGTGACGTCTAAGGTTACAACACGAACAAACCTTAACAGAACAAGAAACCACAACACAAAGTGAAAAGACCGATAGTTAAATATGGCTCCCAATCAGAGACAACCAGCTGACACTCGTTGCCTCTGATTGGGAGTCACTCAGGCCCACATAGATATACAAACATAGACTTACATACCCTGGCTCAACATAACATAGTCCCCAGAGCCAGGGCGTGACAGTACCCCCCCCCCAAAGGCGCGGACTCCGACCGCGCCAAACAACCACAACAGGGGAGGGACCGGGTGGGCACTCCGCCTCGGCGGCGGATCCGGCTCCGGACATGACCCAGGCACGGGTTGTGCTGGACTGACGACGCGCACCCCTGGCTTGGTGCGTGGAGGAGGAACGGGCCTTACCAGGCTGACGACGCACACCGTAGGCTTGGTGCGTGGAGCAGGGACAGGCCGGACTGGGCTGACGAAGCACACCACTGACTTGGTGCGGGGAGCAGGAACGGGCCGGACCGGGCTGACGAAGCGCACCCCTGACTTGGTGCGGGGAGCTTGGATGGGCCGGACTGGGCTGGCGACGCGCACCACAGACTTGGTGCGGAGAGCAGGAACGGGCCGGACAGGGCTGACGAAACGCACCACAGACTTGGTGCGGAGAGCAGGCACGGGCCGTGCCGGACTGACGACGCACACCACTGGCTTGGTGCGGGGAGCTTGGATGGGCCGGACTGGGCTGGCGACGCGCACCACAGACTTGGTGCGGAGAGCAGGAACGGGCCGGGCTGGGCTGTCGACGCACACCGTAGGCTTGGTGCGTGGAGTAGGAACGGGCCGAACCGGGCTGACGATGCGCACCCCT